CACGCTAAGTCATCGACTTAGCGAGGCAATATAATAATAACAATGAAATATAATTGACATGTCAACATGAGATGAAGTATAAAGATAATATATATATATATATATATATATATATATAATGTAATAACCATAATTATGTTTCATACCTGCATACTTATCCAATTAACATTCATGAGTTCAACTTATTAAGTTTACTAGCCCATGATACCATACTGAGAACCAAAGGTATATGAGTACTATGAGGTTGTGCACTATGTTGTCACCACAGTTCGTATAAATGCATCGAAGTACCGCGTAGAATTGCACCGTAGTGCTATATAATAATGTCCATAAAGACCACATATAATTCCTTAAGAATCATATACATATACTAGGGATCAAATATGTGTCTCACAAGACTTCACACATGTTCCAAAGAATATATATATATCCCGAAGGACCGCGTAGACCCTCTACCCTTGGCATGCCAACTATACCTATAGTTCTCATCTACATAACATGGGCTTTTATATTTCACGTAGTTATATCGCGTAGACATGTAAATTCTTACCTTTTCACATAGCTCATATAAATTTTCATGTATATTCATGTCATGTCTCATAATACAGAATATGATCATGTTTCAAAATATAAAATCTAGACTTATCACAAGTCTAGAATTGAGTATAGTTCTATAATCATGATATGCATATGCACTCACCTAGATCTCCTTGTTTTTCCCTCGATCGTTCTTACTTCCCAAACATTCTGAAACTGATTTAGGCCCGGTATCTACACAAATATACAATTTAAGGCAATCTATCAAAATGTAACCTTAAAATTTGATACTAAAAGCTTAAACGACTTTAAGAAATCAACATTTCCATTTTCCTTTAGGGGGGTATCGATACCCTACTGGGGAATCGATACCCTCATGACATTCTGGAATTCTGCTCGTTTGAGAGGGTATCGGTACCCCTTTGAATGGGTACCGATTCCCCCTAGCCCAGAAATCATTTTTGAACTCGAAAATCCCTTCATATTCAGCTTCATACCTCATACTTCACTTCCATTAATATTCCTAACTTTCATACACATAATTAAACTCGTTTCTACTCCATAATCACTTCTTTAAACTCAAAATTCTATCTTTTACATGATATTCAAGAATCATACTCAAATACCAACATGTTCTAACTTTAATTCTATCACCTTATACTTCTTAATTAGCTTGATAACAAGTCAAATCCAACTTCTAATTCTTATTATGACCTCTAATCCAATATTTCATTCAATGGCTTCTAATCTTTAATCTCCCTTAACTTATAATTCTTTGAGTTTCTACACCTCTTTTTCCTTCTATAATCTCTCTTAAGGCTTCCATAATTAAAACCATGCTTGAATTTGAAGGATTAATCAAGAGAAATTAAACTCACCTTAGCTTGGGCTCTTCACGTTGAAGAAGAAAATGAAGAAGAAAGAAGAATCAAGAGTTATCTGGAAACTCTTGTTTCTTTCACTTGGATATTATCATACCCATTATCTATTATTTAATCATTACCTTTGCTTAATGACCCTTTTACCCTTTAGTTTTCATTCACTTAATAAATCATCCTACCCAACAACTTTAATTAATTCCTTCACTTTTCGATTAATTTAATTTGATCACTGACATTTTAAAATCTTACACTTTAATCACTAACCCGGTATGGAGGATATTACATAAAGATTAAATGGAATCATTAAAGTGAGATTAAATTGAATAAAATCAAAAAAAGAGGACAACTTACGCTTTTAGACTAGTCAATTATTGAATTTAAAAAAGAAAAATTTTCATTTAGTTGATCGATTATAAATCGGGTGTCTGAAACTGTAAATAAGAGGAGGATATGACTTTTTTGGGGAAGTGGAAGTGATAATTCCAAGGCACATTACATCCGCAGCTCAAAGCCTAAACTAGCCCAATAAATCACACATATTAACCAAAGCAAAAAAAAAAACATTAGGGTGCATTTGGTTTAAGGAATGTAAGATTATCAGTGAATAGAATTACTGGGAATGTTGTATTTTGTGTTTGGTTGGTTTAGCAGGAATGTAAGATTATCGTGTTTGGTTAAAGGAATAAAAGATTATTTGAATGTTTATATGACCAAATTGTCCTTATTATATATTTATTTTTTTAACAAGTTGGAAAATATTTATATATTTTCTTTAAAAAATTTAAATTCATAAAATTTATATAATTTTTTTACAAAATTGAAAATATAAAAATGTTTAATGAAAGGGTAAAATGTTATTTTAATCCGTGAACTTTATATAAAATTTTAATTATAGATTTTTTTGTAAATCTAAAATAATTTAAGGATAAATTTGTAATTTAACCTTTGTAGAATTGTTATTATTTAATGACATAAGAAGTATATTTTTGAAGGAAAAAAATTAAGGGCATTTTTGTCAAAAACGCCGGTAATACAACAATACTTAAAGGAAGGAAGGTAATGTCATTCCGTGTAATATATCCAAAAAAAATTTACTATTGATAATCTTATATTACCGAGAATGAGATTCCCGACTAACCAAACCGGGAATGTGGATTCCATTCCTATGGGAATCCTACATTCTCCCATCCAAACACCCCTTAAGGTGCGTTTGGTTCACAGAATGTAAGATTATCATTGGGAATAAAAGATTACCAGAGAATAGGATTACTTGGAATGTTGTATTTTGTGTTTGGTTGGTTTATCATAAATGTAAGATTACCGTGTTTGGTTAAAAGAATAAAAGATTATTGGAATGTATATTTGACCACATTGTCCTTATTATATATTTGTTTTTTTAACAAGTTAGAAAATATTTATATATTTTCTTTAAAAAATTTAAATTCATAAAATTTATATAATTTTTTTTATAAAATTGAAAATATAAAAGGTTTAATGAAATAGTAACATTTATTTTAATCCCTGAATTTCATATAAAATTTTAATTAGACTTTTTTTGTAAATATAAAATAGTTTAAGGATAAATTTGTAATTTAACATTCATAGAATTTTTATTATTCAATGACAGGAGAATGATATTTTTGAAAAAAAAAATTAAGGACATTTTAGTCCAAAACGCCGGTAATCCAATAATACCTAAGTAAAGAGGGTAATAACATTCCCGGTAATATACCAAAAAAATTCACTATTAATAATAAAATATTATAAAAAATGAGATTTCTAGACACTAAACATGAAAATATGAATTCTATTCCTCTCCCGCTAAATTCCTCCAAGGCTAGCTGTTGTCAGCTAGGTGTATGCTCTCACGCAGTGGCTCTTCATTTCCCTCCCACGTGCGCCAGGTTATCCTCCCACTAATGGCCATCCTCTCTAAAGCCTCCAATGTTTTTTTGATAAGAACAATTTTGGAAGGATCCTCTTTCAGAAAAAGATCTTTGTTTCCAGAAAACAAAACATATTCAAGTCTTTGCAAATAAACTCTATATCTCTTTTAATGAAGAAGAGCAACTGTGATGATTAATATTATTTTTTCTTTACATAAATTAAACTATATTAATTTACATTTAATCATTGTTCAATGTCAATAATTTTATTAATCATGTTTTATATAATTTACATTTAAATAATTTTATTAATTTCATTAAATAATTTTATATAATAAGTCTATTTATTAATTTAATTATCATAATAAATATTTTACTTTTAACATTTAAAAATTAATCATATTAATTTATTAATTATATCATAAACTCAAAAACTCACCATTTTATTAAAATTTTATAATTTCGTCCATGGTAATATATAAGTCAGGTAAATATCAGATTAGGTCAATAACAAGTCGGATCATTTACAGGTCAGGTTAAAAACATGTAAGATTCATCACAGGTCAGGTTGAAAACAGGTCGGGTAATACCAGTTATTTACCATATCAATCTCGAGTTCGGGTTCATATCATTCGGATGCAAGTCAGGTTCGGGTATTATTTTTTCGGTTCAATTCGGGTTCAGTTCGGGTTCAGATCCATAATTTCCAGGTCTAAATGGGGTTCAGGTAAACACCAGTTCTGACTCGAGTCGGTTTCAGATCGCTACAACGCATGTTAAAAACAGTTTTGACTCGAGTAAGTTTTAGTCAGTTTTACAGGTCGGGTGAGTTTTTTACATCCCTAATTCATGCACCATCTTTTACGGTAGAATCACACGTGTGGAAGATGAAATGCGTGAAGATCACCTCACACCTTGATATTCAGGGTATTCAAATCCGAGACTTTAAAAATAACAACAATTCTTTTACTACTGAGGTTGTCATCACAAATGTTCAGAATGCTTGAACCCAAAATTTCAAGAAATAACAATAATTCATTTACTATTGAGGTCGTTTGGTTCGTGCCCTCTTCCCTCTATGAAAAATGGGGTCATTGGATGAAATTATATAATTTTAACATATTTGAATTATATAATTTGAACGTATTTGTACAAACGTGATTTTTTTTGAATTTAATATAATTAAAAGGTTTAAATTACATTTTTCTATCTTCAAGAGATTATACGAGAATCAATATATATACTATTTAATTTTATTATTTATTATATTTTAAAATATACACTGATTTAATTGTGTAATTATAATTTACAATGTAATTACATTTTTAGTTAAACATATTTTAGAAATTAGAAATTAAAATGTAATTGTTTAATTATTATCGGTGTAATTATAATTTACAGGATGAACGTGCATACTAACTTACTACCATAATTAACCTAAAACATGATTCGAGTGACTGATATCAGCAAAGATGGATACAAGATTTTATTTGAAAGCAAAAACAAATTACAAATATAAAATATAAAATAGATTTTAATGAGAAATTAAAATTTCCAGGGGAATGATTTCCCCGCCCCTTTGGTCCATCCCTGGATATCAGGGTTATGAAAGTTCGACTAATGAACACACAAAAGACAAGCTTCCTTCTTTGGGGGGTTTTTGTTGCAAGAATTTGACCTGACCAGAACTGGCTCAAAAAAAAAAAAAGGAACACAGTTCCCTTCTTATTTCTTTCTATTATGAAAATACAAAGAGGTTACCCTCACAATCAAAATTGCATACTGACTAAGCACAACAAAGAAACTAAATTTAAAAAGAAATAAAAATTAAAAACTTACAAAGGATCCACAATGCCACGGATCCCAACCCTTGTAGGTGTCATCTTTCAACGACCTGAAAAAGCCTCTTAACAAAATCTGTTCATGCTGCGAGCCGAACGGAGGAAATGGCCATCATCTGTACTCAGAATCTGGTTATCAATACACAAATAATTTACTAGTTTGATCAAACAGGACTTCAGTTGGAAACGAATGAAAACACAAAAGTGGTTTTAACTTCCAAACCAAACCATCACAACCAAGAAAACTCATTTACTCAACATCAGGGTAATAGGTGACAATGCAAACATGTAGGCTTATTTTACATACAAGTTCAATTAGTTAATTTCCCAAGAACCAAAATGGTGTAAAAGCAAATGATATTACAGATACAAGTTCGAATACTTGTTTTCACAGGCAACAATAGAAAAATATAATAGAAAAAGGATGGCATCGTACTTGTGTATCTCCTTAGTGAACCATTTCCATTAAGAGAAAAATGCACTGGTTCCCTTTCATGACCAAAAGATAGAATTTCTTGCATTCTTTCTGGCCAATCTGAATTCAATCTACGGGCAAAATCTTCCACCTCCCTAATCAAAAGATTAAAAGAAAATCATTCAGGTAATACATACAAATATATTCCAACATTATTGTAAAACAAGTATAAGATACTGACGTTACTACATTCGCTGCAGTAAGCATACAACTTTTCCTAAATTAATGTGAACAGTAACTAAAAGTAATATGGATAAGTACATAGATTTCAAATCGAGCAATGGTTTCAAATTAATTAAAATTTCCAAAATAGTCCCGATTACAGAATAAATACAATATCGGATTATTTCTATTACTATAGAGATGCAGCAGCACTCCCCTCTAGGTACATAATGGTCATGCCATTGTGTCTATTAAGTCCAGTTACTACAATGTTTATTCGGCAGCTAATCATTTGGGACACTTGTCTGTAAAAGATAAATAGAAAATGGAGGGGAAAGAGAAAGGAAGAGAGACGGCTAAAGAAATTGACACCAACATATACTTAATCCTTATTTTGCCTCCCAAATATGCAAAATAAGACACCAACGTGATCATATACATAAAATATATATGTATACATAAAGTCCAAAACCCACAAAATCATGGATTCTCTATAACCAGACAATTGAAAAAGATTAAACACCAAGCCTTAAAGTGAAACTCCAGGATAACATGACCATTCCTTTGATATTCCAGAGGAGGAATGGGGAGCAAAGGTCAAATAGGAAGAGGAAGATTTACAAGGCAAAAATCCATCTTTACCTGTCTATTTTTTCTTTCAGTGCTGGATCAATCTCGTCATCGATATCACCATCATCGAGCTCATTCTTACTGGCAAAAATATCATCTTCAACATCAAGTAAGTTCGAGGTAGCCCAACTTTTCTGACCAACTTCGGCACTACAGCGCACTGAGTTAAGACCATTTAACTCCTGGAACGGGAGAGGAGCTTCAGTAATCTACCAGTATTATAAGAAAAATAAAAGAAGGCATAATCGATGAGGTTCACACCTTATTATGGTTTTTAATGGTTTCATTGGTAGATGTGCTCTTCTGCTGATCTTTTCTTTTTCGGTTCTTCTTTTTACTCTTTGAAGTTTTATTCCCTTTAGAATCTGCAAAACAGAATTCCCTTACCTCCCATGAGGCCTTCAGAAAGAATTAGAAAAAGAAGACTAAGAGGCAAAGCTTTTGGTATCCATGAAAGCAGAACAATTTTAAATGGTTACAATTCCAGTATATAAAACACATGTGCCAGTACAGATGCGACATATCAAACAAACAAGTATAATTAGTTCTCTAAACATTGTCAGTTAATTGATATCCATAATTGAGTGTAAAATCTCGAATTTCAGTTTTAGTTTGTTGGAAAATTATTCCTAAATGAAGGTCCTCAACAACAATGATTGAAGGAAGCAAATAGGCACATTAATCATTTTATTATCCTGTTCACCAAGTAAGACAGGCCACCCTCTAACATCTTCAAAGAAAGGTCACGCTTTTTCCATGCCTTCACAATTTATAGATCATCAAACTGGTTCCTGATAAAGAAACGCTAAAGAATTTGTTATTTTTGTCCAATTCAGGTTCTATGATCGACTTTTCAGCCATCAACTCCCAAATGACTGTATAGAAATAAATGACATTGGGCATTGAGGTTGAGATCGACACATGAGATGCAACCAGAACAAAACTAAATTATAGTACTATACTATTCTTTCTAGGAGAAAAGCAAAGGTATCTAATCAGTAAAAACAAAAGGTATCTATCAAACTATTCTGCCAATATAAGCAAATAAAAAACAAATACTCATGAAACATAGAAGGTTTTCAGAACTGTAATCTTTGGGATAAAAAAAATTAAATATATTCAAACAAAACATATCAGAACATGATGTAAGCATACCTCCATTGTCCCCATTGATAAATGATAAAAGGTCATCAACTGAACGATCATCGGCACGCTCTTCTTCAACCTCATCATTCTGAGACACAGAAGTCTTCACTTATTTACATGCATTTTACGCAGGGATTATCATAATGATGCCTTATGAAGTTAATTGACACAGCAAGTTCATCTCAACCATAAAAATGCTCTACTAAGGAGTACAATTGCAGAGGGTAGGAAATAATCAGATAAAAATGCCAAAAACAAGGAAGAGACAGTCACCTTTAGTTTCTGCCTCTCTTTTAGTTCCTTCCTCTTTTTTGCATACAATCTATTCAACAGTCGAATGCGTGGGTCATCAGTTGTGTTTTTCAAAGGCTCCAACTTTTCTTCCTAAACCAACAAAATAAGTAATAAAATATAAATAAGGATTAAGATAACAGACATGATAAATAAAGAAGCTTCAATTAACACTAGACACACCTCAGTAAGATCATCTGGCAAATGAAATATTTCACGTATCTCCTCGGGGCTTTTTCCCTCAATAATTCTCGCAAGAGCACGACTAGTGAGATCAACCAGAGGCTTTAATTGAAGGCTATCAGCAGCAGATGTCAACTCACAAAGCCTCTTTGTGTCCATCCGGATAAACTTTTCGTCAAAAGATTTGCGTTCCTTCAAATAGAAAAGCAAACATGCAAATGAAGGGGAGAGGAAACTCAGTGTCGGTTTGCTAAATGAAATTGAGTACCCTCGAAACACGTTAATATTTTCTTGACCCAAAACTCAAAAGTGGCAAAAGCAATTAATTAAATAAAGAAAGCCGCCTATACCTAATGAAAGTTTAAAATTGGCTCCATATATGCCAATCCAGACAGATAAAACATCTATTTTAGGAAAGCGAAATGATAACACCAAAAATAAGAGGTACATGCTAATTGAGAAACATTTTTGACCTACCTTGTTAGAATGACCAGGCACTTGATGAAACCGGCAATAATCAAGAATTAGGCTTAGCATGGCAGGGTTGACTCGCTGAGGAAGAGATATAGCACAATTCTTGGACGATCCCATGCCCTTTTGTATCACTTCATGGCATATCATGGGACAAAACATTGCAACCTCCTGTTCTACTTGTTGGATTGAGCCATCAGCAGTTTGAAGACAAATGTATGAATTCATCATCTGAGAACATATCTGAAGACGCTTCAGAATTAAAAGTTAAAGATGCACTCAAGAACAAGGCAAGCACACTCAAACTATGTAAAGAAAGCCCAATAACCAAATAGAAAAATAGTTGTCATCCACACCCATCTCAGAAAATTATTCCATTAGGGTGTCTATCTACCGTAACTCACACCATGCAGATTAAAAAAAATCAAGTTACGCCATTATTGCTAAAATTACAACTAAACAACTTTGTTCACAGCATAATATTTAGGTCAATATCAAACCAGAGCTAAATCTTTTCCTAGTTAACTAGAATATTTAGTTGCTATGGGAATAAATATAACCTTGAACAATATGCCTTTAATACCCATAACAGAATCCAGAAGAGTACAATAGAAATTGCTCCTTTTGAACTATATACTAATGATTAACCAAAAATGTAAAATAAGTGAACCAAAAAAAAAGACATCACCAGGAAAATAGATAGTCTATAACTTAAGTGGACACATAAAAATCGTACCTCAGGTTTAATGACTGCCATATCCACTTCCGACATTTCAAAGTATATTTCGCACACCAAGAAAGGTCTTTCTGTTTAGCTAGTTGTAGAAGAATTTGTACACCCTGCTTCTCTGTTGCTCAAAGGCTTGGATACAGTAGATGAAACGACAGCTTTGCACTTCTTAAGTGACAGAGACTCTCAAATCGGTAACAAGAAGTACATTTCCCCACTTGCACGAACATTGATTTTGGAAGTAGATCTCAAGAAGTACTTAAATATGGATCATGAAGCTGTCTACCAAAAAACAATAGAAAATATGTGGCAGAGTTACAAACAGATATTTCAGCTTAAGTAGAATAACTGCATAAATAAATAATTGTATAAAAAAATTAGACAAATTTCTGCAGTTAATTAGTTGACTACATAACATGTTGCAAGAGAAGAGATATATATGTCCAAGCTCCTGTACTAAATATTTGAAAGGTGTTCCCAGAACCCAAATAAACTGACTGTCAATCATATTTCTTATATACTACTGAGTTAGCATTCAGACAGGATAATATAGTGGACTGAGAGAAAAAACAGGGATCTCAACATTATCAAGGTTCTTATCACTGAAACCACTAGCATCAGAGTCAAAGCCAGCAGCAGAAGTAAAATATTTAACATTTCGGGGGAAAATAGCAAAGTAGTTGAACATTTAAATAACTAACCAGGATTATCTCAATCTTTCTCTCACAGGGAAAAATGCTTTCCTTCTACTGAACTTGCTTTAAAGAACCAAACATTCCAGATTAAGCATACAAATATTTTCAGTGCAGCAAGACAAGCAGGAGTCATGGCACGATGATTCCCTCATAGGAAATCAACATACGAATTTCTATTACAGGCAAGCCTGACACCTACTGTTATGCGCTCTCCTCTGGTAAACTAAAGTTATCAATTAAACATTCAAAGTTATGCAGCTATAGCCCCAATGTTGATGTGCTCGTTATAAAAAAGAAAAAGAAAAAAGAGATATATGGAACCGTTACACCAAAGTCAACACGTATCCTCTCAGTACCTCACTTCCGCATTCCATTTGTCTTTGTTGCAAATGGATAATAAATCTTACACAAGTGTTTGTGTTACATCCAATTTCTTCAACTGTACTTCCAATAAAATTACCTTTTCTGAATTACCACCATTCCTGAATTAGTCCCTATTTAGCCCTACCTCAAAAAATTCTGAATTCAATCACTTCAGAATATTATTTCTCATATTACAACCATTCCACATCTATTACCATTTTAGGAACATAATTTCAGTTAATTGGCTTTTAAAATGAGATATTGAACTTATGGCACCAAGAGGAAAAGCTAGGTCACTCGACGATTATAAGAATACTTAACTACCACGTAGCAGCCAAAATTTTCATCTGCCAAGGTTCTGGGATATAACAAGATAACAGAGCTATATTTCACCCTATCTAACTGTTATTGTACATAAAAACAACTTCAATTGTATGCAAACTAAGCGCCAACCTAATTTCTTGCACGTATCAGTTACCAACACAACCCGAAAAACACCTTATATTTCAATATTATACTTGGTTAATTTTCCTATACTTAATCAAGTTTTATTCGTTATTACCTCTATTCCTTTTCTCAGCAATCAAACACCTTTTATCAAATGCGAACACATATAGCATCAAATATACATAAATGAATTTGAAAGAAAAAAAACCCCTAAGCATCAAATATACATAAATGAATTTGAAAGAAAAAAAAAACCCTAAACCTACCTAGCTCATAAAGTCGAGCAGCTAAAAACCGGAAACTGAAAAACTGAAAAAAAATCAAAATAAGAAAACGAAACACATTTCCGTTGCCAATCGGTCATATAGATAAACAAAACCAATGAAAGAACGATTCTCGAAAGTCAATCTCAACAGATAAGTACAAAATTGAATTTCTCTTCCCTTCTAATATTAAATATCTAGTATTTCAATTACTTATTTTTCTTTTTCAATTCGTAAACAATACAGCGTTGTTTCGATTATACCTGTGTAGAAGACGACGGAGGTTGCAGAGCTTTCAAAATGCTCGGATACGGCGGTAGTTGGCGAACTCCGAAACGGATAAATGAGAGAGAGAGGGGAAAAGGAAAGAGAAAGACAGCGTTCCTTTTTTTTATTCTCTTTTTTTAGTGTAACGTATATTTTATTTTATTTAAATATAGTTAAAATTTTCGGAAAGAAATATTGTAAAAAAAGGAATTTGTGCCCAAGGTTTGCGAGCCGAGTGCTGTCTTTTGACGAGCGAGGGTCCGTTAAAACGTCACCGCACAGTTTACACTCACATGTGAGCGTTACTCCGAGTGGGTTAGGGTTTGGTTTATAGTCCCGCCCCCCAAAATCCGCCCAACCATTCAGCCACCCCGGAAATACCAAATATGCAGTTCTCTTTAAAGAGAATGATAATTCCGTTTATTAATCAAATGAAAATTAGTGTCGACAGCTCGAATCAATCGGATCGAATATTTTTGAACATTAATATTAATTACTGTTATAGTGTAAACACTTAAAAAAATAATGTTGAAAACGTACTATTTTAAGTAGAATTTTTTTTTAAATACTTAAAATTTTAAGACATAATTTGAATATTTATTTTTATATGAAACCAGATGAATATATTCGGTTAGGACATTATATATTTCGACCCATTGGCAGTTGGGTTTGCGGCGTTTCCGGTTTACTTGGCAACAATCCCTATCGCAGAACAAGGGTTTTTCATTCTATTTCACAGTGGATCTTTCGGTCTTTGGGTTGGGGCTTCACTTTATCACCAAATATCGGTTTTTTTGGCCAATATCCCAAGTGGATCACTTATTTGGGGTATTGGGCCTATCTTGAATTTATTTTGGAGAATACGACATTTTCTATAATGCACTCCGAATTTATCACATCGAGATGACGAGTTTCCTCCGATATTATTTTTAATTGGTCCCCACGTAATGGGTCCTATATATGCCATTATTTTATTGGCATTTTATTTTAAAAATATATTTTAAAAAATTAAAATTAAAAATTAAAAATTAAAAAAATTAGGGCAAACTCGTCACTTCGAGGTGACGAGTTCATTCAAATTAAAAAATACTAGCCATTTTCTACCCGTTGGTCAACGGGCAGACGGACAGTAACAGTCACTTGGAACTTGTCACCTCGATGTGACAATTCAGTCGGCTAAAATATAAAAAATTAAAATTAAAAGAAAAATAAATTTATTATTTTACAAAATACAAAGTAAATAAATAATTGAAAGAAATAAATTTTTATATGAAAATTACAAAAAAATTATCTATGTCGTCTAAGTTATTGATGATGACGAGGAGTTGTCGAATGATAATGCCACGGAGCTCGTCGAGTACATCAGGGTCGTAGACCTTGGCTGCCACCGCTCCTATCGTCTTCGTCATCGTTGTGCCGAAGAGGTGTACTTAACACACTCTACGATCCACATTCGAAATGCGGTGATGAATTTATGACATTTGACACCAGCATCACCGTAACTGCTTCAACTTGGCTTTGGTAACCATATGGTTTTGGTGACCATATAGGATATGGTCTCATTCACCCGCAACTGCATGTTCTGTTAAAGATCCTTGAGTGTATTGTGGCATCCCATGAACCTCCAACCCAATTCAGTCGAGTCTCGACTGAAGTATGAAATGGAGAATAGAAACTGAAAATGGCTTGGAATACATAATAGTATTATTCAGTGGTAGATGCTGAAGCAGAAGACGACGATGTTTTCTTCTTGGACTTGGACTTGGCACATGTGGCCGGATGAATTTGCCATTCTCCCATCTCTTCTGGTGTCGTCAGATATGGTTTCCCATTTGGTTCGTAATTTCGAAGATAGGGAGAATAGTTGAAATCGAGGTCCAACGGTGTGATGCCCTGACACGGGGGAAACGATTGGTCAAGCTGATTTCATTGCTTGTACCACGGGGCTAGACTTCTGCTAGTCGATTCATGCGACACTTAGACGATTACCAGGTCGAAATGGTGCCTAAGTCAGCCTTATCCACATCCTTGTGAGTCTCTGGTTCACTAAGCGACGAACAAATCCTCAAGGATTAAACAACAATGCGAAAGCAACACTCAATTGGGGCTAATCCAAGCCACCTAGGTTGAAGCGGATCTCCGAAGCACGAGCACTGTGGGAACTTTCTAAGTCACCAAGACTTGAATCAGTTTGGCACTTTGAAAGAACTCAAAAAGGAACACTCTCGAGGCTATCTCAGCCCTCACGATTGGCAACACAAGCCACAAAGGCTTTAGCACAAAGGAGAACAAGCCGACAAGGCTATAATGCTAGAAAGCTAGCAAGCTAGAAACACAAGAACTCAGAGAGAGTAAGAGTAAATGCCTGAGTTTTATTATGTTGGGATTTTCGGAAGTTCGAATCGACAACTGAAATGGTTTACAAAGAGGGGTCGAAACGGTTTTTGTGTTTAGGGAGTAAGGAGATTGAAAGGTAGAAAATTGCACAGCGATTTATAGTGGTTCAACTTCTCAACCAAGTCTACATCCACTACCTTAGCTCCTCACTAAGGATTTTCTAACAAATTCACTAATTTGTTCTTTCTTTTTCAAGGACAAAAGATAACCTTTACAACTCCCTAGTTTTTCACGGGATAAACTAGAACCTTTCCCCTTTACAAAATGATAAAAGAAGTAAACAAATAAACCTCTCAAATGTATGTGTTTACAAGAATTAAGCCCACTAGAATAATATTTACAAGAGAGAATGAAAAACTTCTTCTCTTGTGTTTGATAGCTTGGATAGTTGTTCTCATTCTTCTTTAAGTGTCTTCAGCTTGTATTTATAGCTTGGAATGAGTTTGAAGTCGTATATAGCCGTTGAAGATGTTTTGGAGCCGTTTGTATAATTATCATTTAAAAATCTGGTTAGGAGCGTAGGTGCATCGGTTCACTCTTAAGGGCGCATCGGTACACTATGTGTAAAATTAAAATATTTCGACCGTTATAAGACCTAGTGCATCGGTACACTTGGGGTATATTGGTACACTAATTACATTCGATGTTTCAAAAGAGCCAGGAGTGTATCGATGCATGGTCTGTGCATCGGTAGACAAAATGCATTCGAAATAGGGTGTGCATCGATACATCCATTAGTGCATCGGTACATCCCTTTATAAAATTGATTTTTGGCTCGATTTTGGTTCGAAATACTTTGTAAAATTTGTTTCAAAAATATTTTAAGTTTAAAACACAATTTTACACTTTAGTAAGGATTGAAATTGATCTTTGAAAAACTTGGAGTAATATTTTTATATTTGAATCATTTAATCGAATATACTTTAAAATGATTATAAAATCTTAAAATTCAATAACACTTAATTTGTTATATCGAAACATCAAAATATTTTCAACAATCTCCCCCTTTTTGATATAATAAAACATTTCAGTAATTTTAAGATTTTCTTTGAAAATCATTTTTTAAATCAATTTTGAAAAATTACTCCCCCTTACTTTAAGCTCCCCATTTTTCATTAAGAAATTGAATTTTTTCAAACTAAACTTCTCCCCCTTTTTGTTATACCAAAAGTAATTCAATCTTTGAAGTTCAAAATAACTTTGGAGAGCAAGTTGTAAATTTGACATTTAAAAAATCATTTGAAAAATCAAAGCTCTCCCTCAACAATAGCTTTTCAAACAAAATTTAGCTTTTAAGATCATGACACTTAAACAAAATTGAATTTCAACAAAGAATAATAAACATGTTAGTAGCACATGAAATTCAATATATCCAATTCTAAAATACTTTATGCAATACCAATAGTTGAAATTAAGTACATATGCATAAAATTTTATAAAAATGTTATGCATCTGAATTTGTTTTATATCAATTATTAGAGAGATATCATTTTTATTTAAACCACATGCATAAACATTTAAATTTAGGTATTTTTTTAAAGATTTATAAATCAAAGTATTTGAAAAGTTGATATCAATTGTTAGAGAGATATCATTTGTATTTAAAACCAATTTTGACCAAAATTTATTATTATGAACTAAAAACTATGAAAAATCATTAAAATTTTAAAATATTCATCATAATCATTTTTAACATACATGAGATTAAAAACAATGCATAATCATTTAAAATCAAAACTCATGCATGCATAAATTCAAATGAGCAACCAAATAATCAAAATCAAAAGCATTAAGCTTAGAGGTTATCCATTCCTTTTTCATGTGTGGTTGAAGCATTTGAATATCTTCACTTTTATCACCATTGCCCCCACACACCTATAAGAGTAATTTATTTCGATTTTGGTATCCAATTTGTTTTGGATCCTTGGACGTTAGATTCAATGCCCCTTGTTCCTTTCGGAACCCATACTTGCCTAATTTTAAAACGTTTTCCTTTCTTCAAAGGACAAGTATGTTCCAAATGACCATGATAATGACAATATGAGCATTTTGCCATTTTTAAACATAATAGGTTGTTTTTAGAAATTAATTTTTTTCTTTTGTTAAGCTTTCAAGCTTAACTTCTAACTCAAAATTTTTCTTTTCTAAATCATTTGTTTTGATTTTTGAAAGCTCTAAATCATTTTTCAAAATTTCATTTTGATTTTCAAAATCAACTCTAGCTTTCAAAATCGATTTATTTTCAATTTTGAGTTTTGAAATTAATTTTGTATATTTGGAATTCATGGTCTCAAATCCCAAATACAACCTATTATAAGCATATTGTACGCATCAAAAGTAAATGAATTAAATTCATTTGAGTTAGAAGATACCTCAAATTCTTTTTGAGTGGCCATGAGGTATAGGTTGACTACTTCATATTCATCATTGGAATCATTGCTCCAAGATACAATAAATGCCTTATTCCCATTTTTCTTTAGAAGAGGACATTCATACTTGACATGCCCATTTCTTTGATAATTGAAGCACACCGGGGGACTATTCTTCTTGGTTGATTCATGTTTCACTTCCTTGGAAATCATGAATCTCTTGAGTTCCTTTAAGAGCTTGACCATCTCTTCTTCTTGTTCAACATCGTATTCATCCACCTCATCATTTGAATCTTGATAGTTTTTATTGGTGGATTTGAAGGCAAAGTCTACCTCATTATTCTTTTTCTTATTTTTCTTGTCTTCATTTTATTCCTCTTCCTTCAACATCATCTCATGAGTGAGAAGAGAACCAATTAATTCATCGAGAGTGAGAGACTTTAGGTGTCTAGCTTCGATAATGGTGGTATTCTTCAATTGCCACGAACTTGGAAGAAAGTAGATCATCTTCCTTACAAGCTTCTCATTAGAGATTATTTCTCCAAATCCTCTGAGACCGTTGACAATCACGGAAAATCTATCCGTCATAGCTTTGATGTCTTCATCGGGTTTCATCTTGAAGTTCTTGTAGCTATGGTTGAGAAGATTTTTCTTTGATTCCCTCACTTCATCGGTTCATTCATGAGTGACTTGGAGTTTATCCCAAATCTCTTTGCCACTAGAACAAGATAAGATTATTCCATATTCATTTGGGCCTAAAGCAAACAAGAGAATATGTATAGCCTTAGAATTAAGTTAGAACTTTTTCTGCTCTTCTTTGCTCTAATCGTCGTACTTGCCGGGTGGAGAAGAGTAAATGTTCATGATTGAGTTCCAAGCTTCTAGATCATAGGCGTGAATAAAGTACATCATCTTATTCTTCCAATGAGCAAATTTGCTCCATAGAAGAAGGGTGGCTTGTTGAGCGGTCGCGAATCCATATAGCTATATCTTCAAGGTAATAATCACCAGATGTTGAAGCCATTTCTTTGTCGGTTGCGTCAGGAATTGGTAGAGATTCTTCGAGGATCGCCTCAAGGATGTTAAGCCTTCTAACGAGTTAGGCTATGATTCCAACTTTTGGGATTTTTGGAAGCTCGAATCGACAACCGAAACGGTTTGTAAAGAGGGGTCGAAACGGTTTTTGTGTTTAGGGAGTAAGAAGATTGAAAGATAGAAAATTGTACAATAATTTATAATGGTTCGACTTCTTAACCAAGTCTACATCCACTACCTTAGCTCCTCACCAAGGATTTTCCAACAAATTCACTAATTTGTTCTTTCTTTTTCAAGGACAAAGAGATAACCTTACAACTCCCTAGTTTTTTCACGGGATAAACTAAAACATTTACCCTTTACAAAAGGATAAAAGAAGTAAACAAATAAACCTCTCAAAGGTAGGTGTTTACAAGAATTAAGCCCACTAGAACAATATTTACAAGAGAGAATGAAAAACTTCTTCTCTTGTGTTTGATTGCTTGGATAGTTGTTCTCATTCTTCTTCAAGTGTCCTCATCTTGTATTTATAGTTTGGAATGAGTTTGAAGTCGTATATAGTCGTTGGGGATGTTTTGGAGCCGTTTGTATAATTATCATTTAAAAATCTGGTTGGGAGCGTAGGTGTATCGGTACACTATGTGTAAAATTCAAATATTTTGACATTTATAAGACCTAGTGCATCAATACACTTGGGGTGTATCGGTACACTAATTACATTCGATGTTTCAAAAGAGCCAGGAGTGTATCGATGCATAGTCTATGCATCGGTCCACAAAATGCATTCGAAATAGGGTGTGCATTGATACATCCACTAGTACATTGGTGCATCCTTTTATAAAATTGATTTTTGGCTCGATTTTGGTTTGAAATACTTTGTAAAATTTGTTTCAAATATATTTTAAGTTTAAAACACAATTTTACACTTTAGTAAGGATTGAAATTGATCTTTGAAAAACTTGGAGTAATATTTTTATATTCGAATCATTTAATCGAATATACTTTAAAAATGATTATAAAATCATAAAATTCAATAACACTTAATTTGTTATATCGAAATATCAAAATGTTTTCAACATATTACTTTGAAGAGAATGAATCTGAATCTGAATTGAATGATTACAAATGAGGGGAGGAGATCTCTATTTATAGTTGAGGCCCTCAAAATCTAACGGTCTAGATGAAAGTACATCGACGGCTTATATTGAATCCTACCTTATCCGTAACTCTATCT